ACAACATGCACATCAAGTTAACTTCACCGATCAGCAACTCCAAGATGAAGAACACTTGTTTATGGCTACTCAAACAAGTAGTTCAGGTTCAAATGATGTATGGTATTTGATAGTGGGTGCACAAACCACATGGCGAGGGACTCAAATCTCTTTACTTCTTTGGATAGGGTTGTCCAAACCAAAGTTAAGCTTGGAAATGGAGATATTGTACAAGCTGAAGGAAGAGGTACAGTTTCTGTTCACACTAGCAAAGGTCCTAAATTTATTCATGATGTTTTATTTATTCCTGATTTGGATCAGAATTTGCTAAGTGTTGCTCAACTAATGAAGAGAGGATATTCTCTTTCATTTAAAAACAATGGATGTATCATATTGGATTCAAATGATTCAGAAGTTATTAAGGTTGAAATGTGTGATAATAGCTTTCCAATCAGTTTGAATCAAGTGAATGAATCAGCTCTTGTTTCCAAACATGATGATTTTGTTTTATGGCACAAAAGATATGGTCACTTTAATATGGGTGCTTTGAAATTTTTGCAAACTCATGATATGGTGAGAGACATGCCTATGATGGGTATTATTGATGATTTATGTGATGCTTGTCAATTGGGGAAAATGCATAGGAAGTCTTTTCCATCAACAAATGTCACACGAGCAATGGAAAAATTGGAGCTTATTCACACTGATTTGTGTGGTCCAATGAGTGTTCCTTCTCTTAGCCAAAGCAAATATTTTCTTCTGTTTATTGATTTGACAAGAATGACATGGGTGTATTTTTTATCAAGTAAAGCTCAAAGTTTTGATGTCTTTAAAAAGTTTAGAGTCATGGTGGAGTCTCAAAGTGGCTACAAAATTAAAATGTTGAGATTTGACAATGGGAAGGAGTATACATCTAATGAGTTTAATGCATTTTTTGAAGATATGGGCATTGTTCATCAATTGACAGTAAGTTATACTCCTGAACAAAATGGAATTTTTGAGAGAAAAAATAGAACAGTAATGGAGATGACAAGATGTTTAATTGCTGAAAAGAAATTGCCAAAATGTTTTTGGGTTGAAGCTGTTTATACAACGTGTATCTTTTGAATAGGCTACCAACAAGAGCTGTTCAAGAGAAAACACCAATTGAAGTTTGGAATGAAGTAAAGCCCACTTCCAAACACTTGAAGATTTTTGGATCTATTTGTTATACTCATGTTGCAGCAGCAAAAAGATCCAAATTAGACAACAAAGCTGAAATGGGGATTTTCTTAGGCTATGCTGCAAACTCCAAAGGTTATCGGGTGTACAATATAAGGTCAAAATAGATTGTGATCAGCAGGGATATTCAAATTGATGAGAATGCATACTGGAAAATTGGGAAAATAATGAAGTTCAAAGGAGCACAAAAACAAAACAATTGACAACCAGTTTCGACCAGGAGCAAGCTGCAAATGAGAATAAAAATCAGATTGTTGAATCTAATTCTCCTGTGCTAAAATCCAAGTCTTTGGCTGAAATTTATGAAAAATGCAATTTTGTTATAAGTGAGCCTTCTTGTTTTGAAGAGGCTTCAATGCATGAAGAATGGAAAGATGCAATGAAGGAGGAGGTGGCCATGATTAACAAAAATGGCACTTGGGAACTTATTTCAAAGCCCAAGGACAAACATGTGATTGGCGTCAAATGGGTTTATAGAACAAAATTAAATCCGGATGGTTCCATCCACAAGCACAAAGCAAGGCTTGTTGTGAAGGGGTATTCTCAAATGGCTGGAGTTGATTATGGTGATACATTTGCGCCGGTTGCTAGGCATGAAACAATTAGATTAATTGTTGCATTATCGGCTCAATATGGGTGAAAAATCTTTCACTTGGATGTTAAATCTGCTTTTTTAAATGGAGTATTGCAAGAAGAAATATATGTTGAACAGCCTGATGGTTTTATTGTTGCAGGTCATGAAGAAAAAGTTTATAGGCTTCATAAAGCCTTGTATGGGCTGAAACAAGCTCCAAGAGCTTGGTACAGCAGAATTGATTCTCATTTTCTGCAAAATGATTTCAGGAGGAGCCAAAATGAGCCTACTCTTTATGTGAAAGATTGTGGCAATGGAAAGAAAATTATGGTTTTACTTTATGTTGATGATTTGTTGATTACAGGTGATGATGTTGATGAAATTGAAGAGTTTAAAATCAGCATGTTGCAGGTTTTTGAAATGACAGATCTTGGAATGATGAGGTATTTTTTGGGAATGGAAGTACATCAGATTGATGGAATTTTTCTCTCACAGAAAAAGTATGCAAATGACTTGCTGAAAAAATTCAAATTGGAGAATTGTAATCTTGTTTCAACTCCGCTTGCTGTCAATGAAAAACTCTCCAAGGCTGATGGTGATGCAAAGGCAGATGTGACTCAATATAGAAGTTTGATTGGTAGTCTTCTTTATTTGACTGCAACCAGACCATATTTGATGTTCTGCAGTAGTTTACTTTCAAGGTTCATGCATTCACCAAGTTTAACACACTTTGGTGTAGGCAAAAGAGTGTTGAGATACTTGAAAGGTACTGCTGATTTTGGCATTTGGTATAGCAAAAGTGATGGAAAGGTTGAAGGTTTTGTTGATAGTGATTTGGCTGGATCTATTGATGACTCTAAGAGCACAACAGGGTATGTTTTTTCACTTGGTAGTGGAGTATTTTCATGGATCTCTAAGAAGTAAGACATGGTTGCTCAATCCTCTGCCCAGGCTGAATATGTAGCTGCAACAGCAACCTCAAATCAAGCTATATGGGTCAGGAAAGTCTTGACAAATTTGAGTCATGTGCAAATGGAACCTACTGTGCTATGGTGTGATAACAAGTCAACCATTTCAATTGCTAAAAATCCAATTCAACATGGAAGAACCAAACATATCAATGTCAAATTTCATGCTATAAGGGAAGCTGAGAAGAATGGAGATGTTCAGTTGATGTATTGCAGGTCCGAGGAGCAATTGGCAGACATACTCACTAAGGCCCTTCCAAGTGCTAAGTTTAATGAGCTAAGAAGCAAGTTAGGAGTCCTTGAGAAAAGTTTTAAGGAGGAGTGTTAAAGCAGTAAAACTTTTCCTTTATTTTTTACTGCTATAATTAATTATGGTTGCTTGTATTAGTGGGTAAAGTTCTGCAGTAGATAATATCTTGTTAGGTATCTGATTTTAGGCAAATCTACACACTTAATGATGGTGAAAACATGTGTTTTACTGACAGCATTTATGGGCTCTATGTATGACTGTCATTTTTCATGTATTTGCCTTATATATGAATGAAAAACATGCATAATGGTATGGTTGTCCAGCAAATACGAAATTGCTCTGTTCTCTAACCTTTCCTCTTCTCTGTTTTATGGTTTTGTATAGTTTTTATGTTTTATGCTTCTGTTGCCCATTGCATGTCTTAACACTTATCTACCAGGATTAAACTAAATGCTCCAGAAAAACAGAAGGAAAATATGGTAGAGTTAATATAACTCTGATGGGTTTTACGACATTGAATGAAAAATCATCCATCATTTCTAGTTTTTACTCTGATTTAACTAATGCTAATTTTTCAGTCTTCAGCAGTATAATTTTCAGATTTCAGAAAACAGGATGTACACCCTTTTCATACAAATTTAAACCGCTAAACTACTATAAATTTATAATGGAATAAAACCAAAAAGAAATAATAAACGTGCCTATTATTTCTAAACTTATAAAACTCACCTCAAGTTTATTCCTCTTTTAACCTTCTTTCACCAATTTTAATTTTCCGTCCATAGTGCTACTGACTTCTGAACACACCTTTCTCATATTAACTGCCACGTGTCATATAATATTACACATAAAATAAATGAGAAAGCTTCTTCCTCCACAACTAAGTTGCAAGAGAATAAAAGGAAGGAAGAACACAGAAAGGAGTTGCCTATATGACATCAGAAACTAAATTTCAAACTGCACACAGAGGTACGGTAGCAAGATTTTCATTTGTGTTGTCATCTACTCAAGTGTTAGGAAATGGAAAAAAGGAGAACTGATGCAAGTTCTGGTGAAGCTAGTGAACATAAGATGCTTTCTAATTACCAGAGGGTGATACAGTTTTGGTATTTCATTTTTTTTGTAACTAACAGAAAGCCAGTTAGTTTTATGACTTGCTATTTCTGAATAGTGAATCCATATTTGAACATACAATTTTCTGTTTTCTTTTGGTTCTTTACTGGTTAGTGCAGAGATGTATAATGTCAAAATTAAGTTTTATTCTAGCGATACTACTCATGATAGCTTGAAAAAAAATAAGAAAAAAAAATATTCCTCATATCAGTCAAACCAAGGAACAACACTTCTGACTAAACAGGATAAAGTTAAAAATAATTATGCATAAAGAATAAATAAACCTTAGTTTTCTCCTATCAGGTCATACACAAATAATATCTGTTAAGATTTTGATCTGTATAGCCATTGCCCTGTCTCTGCAAATTGTGGGCTTGGCCTGGCCTAAGAATTTCTTATTTCTATTTGTAAGAGCAGATTAGACAGAGAAAAGAAAGGTGACATCACCCATATGAGAACACATAAAAATTATCAACAGTCCTAAAACTTTTCATTCTGGACACTAAAATCTTAAATCTAAAAAAAATAACATTATGTTCTTCGGTTCTGTAGAAAGACCATCACTGGGAGTTCCATGAAACTTGAGGAGCAACAAAAGTTGCAATATGAAAGGCACACTTTATCAATTATGTTTTTCAGTTTTCAATGCCTCTTGCTACCATGGAGAATGCATTTGAATTGAGGTGTCCAAACATAAAATTGGAAATATGAAAGGCACTCTTTTATTTTTCATTGCAGGTAGATGTAGCAAACTAGCAATTTATATTGTTCATAAAATGTGTAAACTGTGAAGCGGGCTTTACCTCATCAGCTTGAGGTGTCACAACTCACAACACATTTTACAAAATATGTGGGAAATTATATGTTTTGGCATGATGCATCTTATATGCAACAGCTCCCTCCTAGAATTGACTTGTGCCTGCAAGACTTTTGCAATGGTTTCTGCAGCATGTACAGCCATATTCTAAATTTACAGTTCAGCTGATTGATTCTCTGGAAGGGTCTGGACTCTGAGAAGTCCTTTGAGTACCCTGAAAAGGACATTTTCATTAGATAAAGAGAAACGGGAGCAGTTGAATAAATGATATTGAATGGCTCAAACAAGTCTCTGCTAAATCTTCATACCACATCACATGATCTACTTTACAGCCAACCTGAAAAATAACAAAATGATACGATGAACAAATAAATCAACACCTACAGAAATGTAATTTTTTTTTATATACAATGATTTCGTCCAAAACCACAGGAAGGAAAGTACCTGAGACGAAACGAAGCACAACCCAATTCCATTTGTTTATTCAAATTGATTCATTGAGTCATGCAATTCCATTTGTTGGATGAAATTGTTATATATTGAAGTGCTTATTGGGCTGATCCCCAATCCTTTTAAAACCTGCCATGGTCGTGTAAGATAAGTTTCCAGGAAGGTGATTCGTGCCTCAATTTTAACCTCAATTTTAAACCGTGTTTGATTTTTGGCTCTTCTATTTAGGAAGTTAGAACATCTTTGGTCGTACATCACACACACATGATCTGATTCTGATTCTAGTGCAGTTCCACAACCATTATAATCTATGTACATTCTAACACTGTATTTTTCACCTTCACTCTCACCATCACTTATAGTGATTTTAACTTCATATCTTTCAACTTTTATCAATTCAGTGAATCGGTTGTCATTACCAAGGACGAAGCAGAAAATCAAGCCAAGCTGGGGGGAAGGTGGAGCAGAAGAGAGATCAATAATTACATAATCTGTTGTGGTCTTATACTCCAACCACTCTGGAACACTGCTTCTTGGATACACATAAACAGCTTGATTAGAACGATAATTATCTTCATAATCATTGTAATTTTCAACATGATCATAATAGGTGTTGGTTTGCAAATTTCATCATGTTGATTTGCACATTCAACCCAATAGCCACTAGAGAGTGTTCGTCCAAGTTCAAGCAATTCAAGAACAAAACTCGTGTCCTGGTTTCCCTTAATTGTTCAACAGCCGTTGAAGGAAACAACAACGCAGTCTTCAATGATTTGCATTCAGTGACATTTAAAGTTTCAAGGCAGGGAGGAAGCTCTGGTAGAGTTTGAAGTAAATAGCAGAATTGGGCTTCTAGAATTTTAAGGGACAGGGGAAGCTCAGGTAGACTTTGAAGTGATTTGCACTCTTGGACATTTAGAGTTTCAAGGGATGAGGGAAGCTCTGGTAGAGTCTGAAGTGAGTGGCAGCATCGGGCACATAGAGTTTCAAGAGATGGGGGGAGCCGTGGTAGACTTTGAAGTGATTTGCAGGACTCTACATTTAGAACTTTCAAGAACAAGGGAACCTCTGGTAGACTTTGAAGTGATTCACAAAATCTAACTTCTAGAGTTTCAAGGAATACGGGAAACTCTTGTACACTTAGAAGTGATCCACAGTTATTGGCTTCTAGATTTGTAAGGAAGAGGGGAAGCTCTGGTAGACTTTGAAGTGAAGCACAGTATCTGACATCTAGAGTTTTAAGGAATAGGGGAAGCTCTGTTATAGTCTGAAGTGAATCACAGTGTTGGGCATGTAGAGTTTCAAGAGAAAGGGGAAGCCATGGTAGACTTTGAAGTAATTTGCAGGACTCAACATTTAGAATTTCAAGAGAAGGGGAAAGCTCTGGTAGACTCTTAAGTGATTCGCAAAATCCGGCTTTTAATGTTTTAAGGGACGAGGGAAGCTTTGATATAGTCTGAAGTGAAATGCAACTTTGGACATTTAGAGTTACAAGGGAAGGGGGAAACTTTGGTAGACTTTGAAGCAATGTGCAAGATTTGAGATTTAGAGTTTTAAGGGATGGAGGAAGGTCTGGTAGACTCTGAAGTGAATAGCAAGCTTGTGCATCTAAAGTTTCAAGGGACAGGGGAAGCTCTGCTATTGTTTGAAGCTTGGTGCAATAGTATACATCTAGATGTAGCAGTTGGGTAAGATTGTTAAAGGATGAAGGTAACCTCACTATGGAACTTCCTGCTAGATGTAGTGATTTAAGCTTCCTTTGATGTCCAAATGATGAGGGAAGTACTCTGATCTTTGTATCTTCTAGTCTCAATTCTGTCATATTCTTTGATATCAATGAGAATTCTATAAGATTGATGCAAAGATCAAGGTTGAGATAATTGAGGCTGCATAAATGGGAATCACTTGCGAGTATGGTAAATGACTTGCAGTTCCAAAGGTCCAATTTTTCGAGTTTTCCAAGAGTGAAAATAGATGGATGCACCTTAGTCAACCTAGAACAACCCCAGAGGATCAAAACTTCAAGATTTATGGCTTTTGATAAATCTGGCAGCTTCTTTAACTCCTCAGAGCTGTTGAGGTCAAGTTCTTTTAAATTCACCAAATTCTGTAATAAAATGAAACAAAATGAAAATATCACACAAATCAAATTATTCATTTTTGTGAATTAACAGAAAATTGTAACTGTGAGCACATATTTACCTTCACTCCATCCCAAAGTTTTTTCATTTTGCTGAATGGTAATTTTAGTATTACTAGTTTTTCGGCAGAAAATTTCTCTGGCAAGGATTTCAAAGAGTAAGAATACCAACAAAGAAATCTTAGTTCAGTTTCCAAAAGTTGAAGACCTTCAGCTAGGATACTATGTCGATAAGAGCCATTATAAATTTCCAAAAATTGTAGTCTACTCATCTTCGCAAATATGTGATGGCTTAACTTTTGCTCCTTAATTTTTGTCAAGTCAATTTGCATGCTTCTAATGGACTCAATACCCTACACCAATGTAGAAGAAAAGAAAAATTAAACATCATCAAAAGCCACATTTCTTGCACATAAAATTTAAAATGTTATTCAAATGATGTTATATTCAGTTAGGTTTTAACCTTGTCATTTTTTAATGCTTCACAAATGTCATCAGGATCCCATAACCAGCTGCAGCTTCTAGGGTCTTTGTTAGACTCTCGACGAACAATCTCCCAACCCATTTCTTGTAAACTATCATGCATACATATAAAATTAAGCTTAGAGAAAGTTATAAGAGCTTTATCTTTCAGCCTTTCTAACCCAACAACCACTGAATTATCACTTTCTTCATCTTTTAGTAAAGATCTTAGATTGCCCACATTTACCTTTCTATGCAATCTAAGAACGAAACATGCAAGATCGAGAAAAATCCGTTGCTCTTTACGATCTAGATCATCATAACTCAGTTTCATAACATCATAAACTTTTGTAGGAGGCATTTTTTTAAGTTTGTTTAGTTCACTTTCCCATACTTCCTTGTTTTTTCCACGGAGACGATGCGCCAACACTTTAAGAACTAATGGGATGCCTTTGGCATAATGGTACATCCTTTTAGCTCATCATCCTCCCTTTGATGATCACTTTGGTTAAAAACAATCAAATTGAAAAGTTCAAGTGCTTTATCAAAACTAAATTCTCTGAGTCGATATATCTCATCAGCTTTGTTAGCATTAAGCACTTGCTCATCTCTAGTTGTTACAATTATTCTACTGCCTGATCCAAAATTATCGAGTGCTCCCAATAAATTTTGTAAGTGATCTGAATCATTCACATTATCAAGAACAATAAAAACTTTCATGCGACCAATTCTTCTAACAATATCATCGGGCAATGAATTTTGTGTGCTGATTCTCACAACATTTGTTAATAACGCAGAAAAAATTTCATTCTTCAAAGAAATTATTCCACGTTTGCTAGATTGTTCTCTTTCATTGGCTAAAAAGTAATAACCTTCATATTCAGATTGTAGTTTGTTAAATATTTCTTCTGCAAGGGTTGTCTTACCGACTCCACCCATACCCCAAATTCCAATAAGACAAATGTCTTTTGACTCTTTGCTCTTACGAATCAATGATTCTACATCTGCAATTTTTTCATCAATTCCAACAAGTCCTTTTGATCTAAACATGGGCTCTGCCAACTTTGTCAACACAAGATTGACAATTTCTTTAAGCAGTTCAGCATCATTTCTATATGACACACACAAAGAGAGAACGTAAGCATTAAATCAATGTCATTAATTTAACTCACTTTTTTAGAAGTTTGGGGGAGGGGGTGGGGGGAGAGGGGGGTGTCATCTTGCATTGTGGCATGGAAACTTCTCTTCATTTCTCCCTTCCTAGAGATTCCTAAACACGTCAATACTAAAAAGGGCCTTTGTTATATTTATCTAGAAATATTTTTTTAAAAAATTAACATTTAGAAATTGAAATGTTTTTAAAATGTAACATGGTTGTAATTCTTTTGTAAACCAACAACGCACAATTGGGCACATCAGACTTCTAGCATTGAGGCATGGGCTAAATTTATTTATCCAAAGTAATGAGTTACTGAATAATAAAGCAATTTACAAGTAAAGGTTTCATCATTTTTAATTTAAGCATCCAGGTTGTGATAACATGAATATAACTACATAACAACTAGAAAATATTGAAGATTTCTGGGGTAAAAAAAGCTTACTGAAACTTTGATGATTCAATTCCAGAAAAACCAGCAGATTCCCTCAAAGCCTGTCTCCACATTTGCACCTTGTTCTCATAGTTCCTTTCATGCTCAGCAAATGCATTCTTGTAACTCTCCAACGATTGATGCCTTACATGTGTGGGTTTCAAATGGTAGAAAATAGGGACTACAATCCGTCCATATTTCTCTTTGCATTCAAGTATTGTCACAAGTTCTTCGAAACACCAACGCGAACAAGCATAGTCTTGTGAGAATATGACCAATGAAATGAACGATTGTTTAATTGCTTGAACAAGTGAAGGCCAGATTTCATGCCCCCTCTCAAGTTTATCATCTACAAAAGCATATATTTTCTTCATTTGAAAAGCCTCAATCAAATGGCTTAGGAACCCCTCACGGATGTCCTCACCCCTAAAGCTAACAAAAACATCATACTTTATTTGAGGAGCATTGTTGTCTGACATTGGTTTTTCCTGTACACCCTTCATCTGTTTTCAAAAGAAGTTAGAAATGAAGTGAAAAATCATGGAGCTTATAAAACAAAGACATTGTTGGATAATCTTAAATTTCTAGAGATATCCGAGATAGATATTTCACTAACATGCTAATTTAGGTTGGTACAAGTGATATGAGAGACTCACGTTGTTTAAATAAGTAGTCAAGGTACATTTTTTAACAAAATATTGTTTAAATTTTTTTATTAACATTAATTACCATAATTCTATAAATGATTTTTTTATAATAAATACATTATTTGAATTCATAAATGAAAACGTTTTAAATATTTTATTATCGTTAGTTAATACCATTCTAATATAAAAAAGAAAGTATGAAAAAGCATGCATTCCGTGGTGACAAAGTAATTGTGATATTCTTATTCTAGATCCTGGCATTAGTTTTAAGTAAGGAATTATTTTTGAAAATTGGTAGAATCAAAGAAAGGAATTACTTAAACTTGATGTGTATTGATAGAATAAAAAATTGAAGCATTCATTCTAAAGTTATAAATATTTCCACTTCACGGATATGAAATTATATTTCTTGGAGAGTCTCAAGCAGCTAAATTTAACTAAATTACTGATGGACAGCCATCATGCAGCTACACTACCATAATCCATTTCATTTTGAATTATTCAAATCCATACACATCATAAAAGCATATATATAGTTAGTTATTTAATTTCTATTAAACATACCATTTTCTGTCTCTAATTAGTACTATAATAATAAAGAAAATCTTGGTTATCTATGAATAAGATTCACAGTTGCATTATATTTGAATTAGTTTATATTATTTTTGACTACTATATGTATTGTTTTTGAGTCCTTGTAATAAAAACAGTTGAGTTGAGGTTTGATATATAAAAGCACATAAAGAGGAGTTTCTTCCATAAAAGCACATACCAACGACAAACTATATTCATATATATTTGCGGCTATGGATTTACCACTCGACGTTTGGGAAAGGAGTTTCTTCCATATGCTTCATGACACTATTGGCTTCTGCTTCGAGAAGGCGTATGACATATGGGTGACAAATATTTATCACTTTTTCTTCATACTATCACTACTCATTTTCGTTTTCCTACTATTGCAATACAACTTATTTTACTTTACATGTTTAGTAAACAAATCAAATCACAATGTTTTATTATAGTCACCAAATTAATGATTCTTAAATCTAGCACAAATTCAGAGTATGTTTCAGAGAGAGAGAGATTTTTATTTTAGTAAATATTTTTAATTTAATAATTTTAAAATAAAATATAAATAATAGATTAATTATTTGAGAATATTAAGTTTGTGAACAGTGTTAACAATACATTCTCTAACATACTCTTCTTAATATCATTTCTCATTGAATATATTTTATTGAAAACCAAAAACTTAAGAAAGAGGGTCATTATATAGAATGAAAGACCCACCAATTTTTATGTTTTTCATCGGTGTTAGTATTCTTTTAAATTTATTATATTGTAAGTTGACAACATTAAGTTTATATGACAATATAAACTTTACGCCCTTAATTAATTCTTATTATTTGTTTACATCCTAACAACCTTAAGAAAAATTGGCTTATCATGAAGAATTGCCTTGGATTATACAGTACAGATCTTATGATCTTAAACAAGTCAAAGATGCCACAATAAGAATGGAATTTCCATAAACAAATACAGTGCATTGTAAAGACTTGCCCAATCTAAGGAGTTTTTCCTCAGGAGACATTATTGAATGGCCATACTTGGAGAATCTTATTTTGAACCACTGCCCTAACTTAAAGAAGTTTGGATTCGAAAAGATAAAAGAGTCACGATTAAAATCATTCATCATGGAAAATCAAGTGCAACATAACATTGATACAAAAGTTATCTATTTTTTTGAATCATGGGTTTAGTTCTCTATCAAAACACTATTTGCCATAATAGACTAAAAACATTAAGCTTGTTTACGGTTATGCTTTTGCCTTCTTTAATTGTTATTAACTACGATTTTCAAATCTAAACTTTTTTAATTAATTAAGTCCATCTACTTTTTAGATTGATCGAGTGACTTTTGATTCTTTTATAAATATTGTTCTATTATGAGTCTTTAAATTCTCATTTCCTACTGAAATACGTTATAAAAATTTAATATTATTAATTTTTTTAAATCTTTTTCTACTCAAAACTCGTTAACCAAAACATTAAATTTCAACCAAAATTGCAAAGTATAAAAAAATTTATTTGTCAAATTAAATCTTATTTGACAACTTTCAAAAAATTCTTCAAATTTTCCTAAATTTAATTCTTGAATTTTTTAATCTTAAACTACATATAAATTTCAAATATGTACATAAAGAATATTTGATAAAAAAATGTGCATTTAAATTTAAAATGTGGGAGGCTTAATTATGAAAAATAGGTTACCTTACTTCTTTCAAGGTATTGGATATATATTTAGTGAGTCTTTTACTCTATGTTTGAATAATTGCCAATCCAGTTGCACAAAATGGTAACAAGAGTAGAAAAATTTACAGGATGATGAATTATCAACAATTATTGAGTATGAAATTGGTGTCAATGAGGAATTAGGCAAGATATTGGATAATCTTCGTCCATCGCATTTCACCAACTTGTTACAATTCCAGGCAAAAAATGTCGATGAAAAGCTGATTAGATTTCTTGATGTTTTGACGAAGAGGTCAAATAAACTTGAAGTTATCAACATTCAACAATGCAAAACAATAGAATATTTGTTTGACCTTCCTCTTGCTCTTATCCCTGATGAAGATGGACATGGTATATATTTCACACAGATGAGAGAATTAAAATTAATAGAACTATATAATCTAGAATTCGTATGGCGTGGGAATCCAGTAGGAATTTTTGGCCTCGAAAATCTCCAATTGATACACATCAAACGTTGCCCCTCTCTAAGACTTCTATTCTATTATGATGTAACAGAGAAGCTCCACCAACTAAATGAATTAAAGTTAGAGGCATGCGAGTCGTTAAAAGATTTAATTTATTCTTCTAGTGAAAAGAGACCAACAACAAAGTTCCCATCACTAACCAAGGTAGAGTTGAAGTCTCTCTCAAGATTGGAATGGTTCTACATTTATAGAGTAGAATTTCCAAGTCTAAAATCCTTGACAATAGAAAAATGTCCAAAAATGACATCATTCACAAATGGATTTGCAACTAAAGATGAATCATCCACAATTATTGATGGGAAGTCTTTCTTTGAGCTAAATGAACTCACATTACGTAGTTGTGACAAGTTGATTCTTGTTGTGTCATCTAAGACTTTACAAGAGTTAAGAAAATTGAAGAAACTCATTGTGAGTGATTGTATGAAATTGAAAATGTTATTCAACATTGATGGAAAAATATCTCATTCAACTGAACTCCTACAACATTTAGATGAATTGATCTTGAATGATCTACCTAATTTAACCCAAATCATCAACAAAGAAATTGTCCAGTTCTATCAAAACTTGAAAATCCTACAAGTGAAGAATTGTGAGTCTCTTGAATGGTTGTCCATATCTCAAGTGCTAAAAGATATGGAAATTATCGATTGCACAGCCTTGCATAAAATTATGATCATCCATGAAGAAGAAGGAAAGAGAGGTAAAACCACCTTTACTCGATTGAAGGATGTTTCCCTTGTAAATCTATTAAATCTCTCCATTGCCTTTCCTATTGCAGCTAAATTTTCATCCTTAGAAACACTGAATATAGAAAATTGTCCTAGTCTGAAGACTTTTGTTGAAGAGTCCAATGAGGAGAAAGATCATCCAGAATTAGATAATTCAAACTATTTCTTTCCAAATTCAGCAAGTTTCTTCACTTTAACATTTTAGAAATAATATTCATTATCGGGAGGGTGTATGTATACATAGTTTTTTTTTATTCATCTTTGTTCCAAATCATTGAAAATTATTTTTTGTTCTTTGCAGTTGTCATTGGACAAATTGAAGGTACTTTATGTAATGAATCAACCGGTTGAGGAGCTTTGGCACTACAATTATCCTTCTGAATCATTTTGTGAGTTGGAAAATCTTACTTTGAGAAACAACAAAAAGTTATTGAGTGTCTTCTCCCCCGCCATGATAGTAAGATTCAACAAGCTAAAAAAATTGACTTTGGAAAAATGTGAATTATTGGCCGAGGTATTTATCCTTGAAGGTGACAAACCAAATCATGATAACCAAGAAATGCTTCCTCAACTAAGGGTGTTAGCAATGAGTAACCTAAGTAAATTGACATGTTTCTGGAACAAGGAACCTCAAGTTCCATTTTTCCTTAATTTGGTTTCACTTTTCATTATTCATTGCCATTGCCTCAAAAGCTTATTCTCACTTTCTCAGGCCCAAAATCTTAAAAAACTCAAAATACTCAGATTGTGTAATTGTGAGAAAGTAGAAGAGGTAATATCTAGTGATAAAGGTGAAAAGGTGGCTACCATTTTCCCTAAAATGAAATGTCTTGTGCTCAAGGATCTTCCAAAGCTTGTCAACTTTTGTCAGGAAGGAGGATGTTTTAATTGGCCTAACTTACAAACAGTGAGGGTGAACAATATTCCAAGTATGAAAACATTTTTGAGAGATGATCTTAATACACCATTGTTGAAATCAGTGTATATAACATTTGCTAAGAAACTTTGGCTTGGAAATTTGAACAAGACCATATCATATGTGCACAACAATCCAGGTGTGTAAATTTTAATGTTATATGCCAAAAATTAAAAACTTGTAACATAATAGTGTTACTTTTACAACTTGTTTTATATACATGATACATATCATTTTTTTCCTAAAAGATATCTCTTGTACAAGATATATTATTAATTTAAATTGTTAGATGACAACAATTACCTTTTGATTATATTAAAATATTTTTAATTTAAAAAAATTGCTAATAATTTTTTAGGATTTTGTACTTTTTTATTTTACAAGTTCCTTTCAAACCTTGTTTTAAAGCTATTAATTTTGATAAAAATGGTT